GAGATGAGGGAAGGGTTTCAGGAACTGGTAACCTCTAGCCAGTGTTTTGAAAGCTAAATGGCAATTTTCCAGGTAGACAAGGGGAGGAAGGAAAATCCAAAAAGAGTATATCATGTTTAAATGTCCTAGTGTTAAAAAGCAGAGGGTGCTCAATACCAATAAAGTATAACAAAAGCATTGGGGACATGACAAGAGTAACATTGTTGAAGAGAAACCACCTAACACAGTAAATATAGGTTTCTCCATGAGACTTCTCTCAAAACTTTCCTTTTTTAAAAGCTTAGACAAAGAATTTTACAGCAAATGCAACCATAATTTATATCTCATAAGTTGCATAATTAACTTCCTACATGATGTCTGCAATAATTAGAAAATTATTTTCCTTCATTATATAGGATGTATTGAAGTTGTATGTACATGCTCCATGGCTGTGCCCAGCTTTGAGTTCCAGTTGACTCCATCTCAATGGAGGAAATTGTCTAAACTCGAGGCTGGACAGATAGACAGGATCCAGACCATGAAGTGGCTATGATGTACCAATTTTATAGACAACGAATAGACACAAAAGAATTTAAGAGAGATAGAGATTATACTTAGATTTGAGTCTCAGTAAGATCACTTTAAAAGCATTGGATCAAAGGCAAAGAAATTAATGAGGCTTCTATTGCAATAATAAAAGTAACTATGGGAGAACCAAGATGGTGGCATAAGTAAACACCTATACTTGCTGCCTCTCACAACCACATCAAAGTTACAACTAAAAGGCAGAACAACTATCACCCAGAACTGAGGAAAAGCTGGCTGGCTGGAAGTTCCACAACTACATTGAGACAGGTAAGAGGTGTGAAGGTGCAGAAAGTGCTGGCAACTGAATGTGCTGCTATTTTAATTGGGAGGGAGATATAAGCTTTGCTTGCTCTGAACTCCAGATCTGGGCAAGACTCTGGGGGACCCAGACACATACAGGGAGAAACCGAACTGTCTGGCATCGGTTCAGGAACGTGAGGGTAGCTTTCTCTCAGAGGTGCTTGCAGCAATAATTGTTGCTGCATGGGGGCGTAGAACATGGAGACCTAGGACCTCTCCAGTGCAGGACTGACTGGCAGACTTTGCTATTTTCTCTGCCCTGGTGATTCCTAAAGATCCCATCCCACCCAATATACAATCCCCCACAAGCTATGTGCATCGGCTTTTGCATATGAATGGCCTGTCCTTTCTCAGCCTAAAACCTGTCAAATTACAGCTGAGTCACAGAGCCCCAGAGCTTCCAAAAGAAGGCCCAAGGCCTGGCATCAGTAGCCAGCCTTGCTGCACAGCTGGGCCTCATAAGGGCACTTACAAACAACATACAAAGAGGAGGAATCTGCAGATGTTTCTGTAGCTCCTGCTGAGTGGCCCCATATAGTGGCTGACCTTGCACCTTCTTGGAGATTCAAGAGCCCAGTGTACCCAATGGTCAGAGTGAGACCATACCAGATTACAGCTCTTCACATACATAAGAGACACACTCAAGGGGCAGACTCAGTGAGCACCAAAGCCCCACTGAAGCAAGTCCTGCCCCATAAGGGTGTCTCCTGTTCAACAGATCTTCCAGTGTAGTCACAGCTGGTACTCACAGCCAATTGGCCTGGAGGTCAATTCCTCACAGTGATAGCAATAGCAATCAAGGGTTAACTACAACAAAACTGTGAAAACAGCCCACAAAGGAGTGCACCAAGAGCATCCACCTCAGGTGACTGGGGAGGCTGAACCACAGGGCCCTATGGGATACCTACCACACAAGGCTACTTTATCAACTCAAAATGATTTAGCAGCTACCCAGTACATAGAAATAAACACAGTGAAGCAGCCAAAATGTGGAGACAAAGAAATAAGTCATAAACAAAAGAAATGGATGAAAGCAAAATACTAGATATAGAGTTCAAAATCATGGTTATAAGGTTTTTCAATAATTTTCTAGAAACTTTCGAGAAATTTAGTGAGACCTTCAAGGATATGGAAAAGGACCAATCAGAAATTAAGCATACATTGACTGAAATAAAGAATAATATACAGAGATTCAACAGCAGACTAGAAGATCCCAAGAATCAAGTCAAGTATTTCAAATACAAAGAAGCAAAAAACACTCAATGGGAAAAGAAAAAAAGAAAAAAGAATACAAAAAGTTGAAGATAGTGTAAGGAGCTTCTGGGAAAACTTCAAGCATACCAACATCTGAATTATGGGTGTGCCATAAGAAGAGAGAGAGCAAGATATTGAAAACCTATTTGAAGAAATAATGACAGAAAACCTCCCCTACCTGAAAGAAATAGACTTACAAGTCCAGGAAGTGCAGAGAACTCCAAACAAGAGGAATCCAAAGAGGACCACACCGAGACACATCATAATTAAAATGCCAAGAGCAAAATACAAAGAGAGAATCTTAAAAGCAGCAAGAGAAAAACTTAGTTACCTACAAAGGAGTACCCATGTGAATGTCAGCTGATTTCTTAACAGAAACTATGCAGGTCAGAAGGGAATGGCAAGAAATATAAAGTGATGAATAGAAAGAACCTACAACCAAGATTACTCTACCCAGCAAAGCTATCATTTAGAGTTGAAGGTAAAATAAAGAGCCTCACAGATAAGAGAATGCTAAAGGAGTCCATCACCACCAAACCAGTATTATATTAAACTAGAGGCCCAATGCCTGAAAATTCATGAACTGGAGGGGTGTGTGCCTCAGCAAGGACTACCTCCTGTCACAATCAGGGAGCCAGTGATTGTGGGAATGCGATGCCCCATCACACCTCTGCCGCTGCCACTGCTGGCAGTGCAAGCCTCAGCCAGCCATGGTTACCTGAGCCTAGGGAAGCCCTGGGCAGCTGGGCAGCCAACATATGAGGCTTGGCTGTGCCTCAGGCATCGGCTGAGCAGCCACCATCCTAGGCTGGCCTGTGCCTTGGGCCAGCCCTGGGTTGCTGGGCAGCTGCCATCTGAGGCTTGCCAGTGCCTTGGGCCAGCCCTAGGCAGTTGGGGGGCTGAAGGGACTGAGGAACTCTGCAGGTAGGCTTGTGGGGAGGGCCCAGCTTTGCCACGTACCTGCTACTCCAGCAGGACTGAGGGGATTGAGCACTACCATCTTGTGGCTGTGAGTGCCACCATCTTTGAAGGCATAGCAGTCAATTAGCATATTCCCTCCTCATTGTCTGTGGGAGCCCCAATGTATGCAATGGTGTGAGGGTCAATTAGCATATCCCATCTTCATTAAATAGGATAATTAACTTATCATAATAATACTGTATACCATTTAAAATTTACAATTCAGTGGTTTTTAGTATAGTCAAGAGTTGTACAGTCATCATCACTAATTCCACAACATCTTTGCTACAGCATGAGGGTCAATTAGCATATTCTCTCTTTATTAGATAGGATGCTGAAGGGTATTCTCTAAGAAGAGGAAGAAGAAAAAGGTAAAGATTAAAAAAATTACAAACAACAAAGTGACAACAAATATATATCTATCAACAAGTGAACCTAAAAATCAAATGAATAAAAAACCTGATGAAAAGAACAAACTGGTGAATGTAATAGCCTCTGGGATAAGAAAAGGGAGCAGACTGACAATTCTCAGGGAGAAGGGGATGTGTGGGGTGCAAGAAGAGACTGGACAAAGAGCTTATACCTATGAATGAGGTCAGCAGGGAGGTAGAACTGGAATGGGGTGGGAATTGGGTGGAGGAGAACTATGGGGGGGAAAGAGAGGAACATCTATAATAATATGAACAATAAAAATTAAAAAAATAAAAATCTATACTAATAAAAGGGTAATATACTAATTAGACCAGAAGACCAGACATCTTCCTACCATCCGACTTCCTTCCGGACAAAGCCACGGTGGTGCGGACCGAGGCAGAGGCAGTTAGGGGTGATCAAGCCAGCAGTGGAGGGCAGTCAGGGGCCATCAGGTCGGCAAGGAAGGGCAGTTGGGGGCCTTTAGGCTGGCAGGGGAGTGGTTAGGCAGTGATCAAGCCGGTAGGCAGGCAAGTAGTTAAGAGCCAGCAGTCCCAGATTGCAAGAGGGATGTCCTGGATTGGAGAGGGTGCAGGTTGGGCTGAGGGCCCTGCTCCCTGCACACCTCCTACTGGAGATGTGCCCACAACCAAGGTACATGCCCCTGACCAGAATCAAACCTGGGAACTTTCAGTCCACCGGCCGACACTCTATCCACTGAGCCAAACCGGTTAGGGCCATAAGTGATATTTTAAACTGTAGACGTGAATAAGATTATCTAAGAAGTGTATATAGGGTGTGAAGGTCATCAAGGATAGAACCATAAGGAATATCAACATTAAGGAATAGATTAAGGAGGATTAACCTAGGAAAGGAAAATAATCTGAGAGATAGGACAAAGAGAAAAAAGAAAACATATCTAAATGCTATAATACTGTTTTTAATTATAATTCATTGAATACATATTGATCTCAGTCCTCAAAGAACTTTAACATAGTGGAGGAGGCAATACCTTATTCATTTCTGATGCTCCAATGTCAGGCACAGTGCCTGAAATTTGATATCCCTGCAATAAATATTTGTTAAATCAAATGGAATTGAAATCAGGACTTGATTTCTCTTCTTGTTTTGTTTGCTTATTTCTGGAGTTTACAGCATGTATTGCCATTTATATTTTAAGTTCATAGTGAAAAATCATTTCAATGTGTCCCAGGCTTGGTCCCCTTCCAAACCAACCCCCAGGACAATAGTTTTCATTATAACCTTCTGTCTTTGCCATTCTGGATTGAATTCTGTGCACAGAAGTTATATACATATATGGGTATATCTATGTAACAAATCATAGCACAGGATCCCCCTGGGCTCCTTCAGGCTCTGGTATGACATATTTGAGCCATATAAATTCAGCTTCTCCTCTGGCATCTGTTAGCCGGCGCACTTGCAACTCCACCTCAGCAGTGGTCTCAGTTCTCTCAAAGCTGGGAAAGAGTACTGTGTGCTGAGAGACCATGGCTAAGAATCCTCCAGAGAACTGTGAGGACTGTCACATTCTAAATGTAAGTTGGTTCATATTTTTCCCTTTTGAGCAGAAGTATGGCTGTACAGATTTATCATATTGCAATGTGAACATTAGAAAGTGTAATCAAAGGTGACTTTGAATTATGGCTTGCTATTTTAAAAATTATTGTATATTGTTTTATTTTCTCTGTTCTTTGTGTAGGCAGAAGCTTTTAAATCCAAGAAGATATGTAAATCACTTAAGATTTGTGGATTGGTGTTTGGTATCCTGGCCTTAACTATAATTGTTTTGTTTTGGGGGGGCAAGCACTTCTGGCCAGAGACACCCAAAAAAGTAAGTAAATGCACATTATGCTCCAATGCTTTTGTTTTGGATTTGATTGGGTTTAATTAGTCATTGACATGTATATTGGTCTGAAAATGAAAGTCATTAAGTCCCTTTTGTTATTTTCTGGTGGTATGAAAAATTGATTCAAGATTTTGCTCTTTTTTATTTGCATAATTATCTTGGTAAAGGAAAAGGATGTTTTGTTTTTATTTCGGTTAGTAGTGATAGGCTGTAGAATTAACCCATTCTTTTGTAATTCCTGGCTTTAAGGAGTTAAAACTCTTCAAAGAAGCAAAATTTTTATTGTAAGAAGAAATTATTTTCCATCTTTCTTTCCATTATCTGGGCAGAAACTGATGGTAAAGTAATTATACTACCACATAAGAAGAAACCACCAGAAATGGCAGCAAAGGATTTTCAGGGGTTATGTTTCTGACTTAATGCATCTGCTGTGAGGACAGGCAGCAAACTCCTTTTCAGGAGAAGTGATTTTTATACCCGAGTTTTCATTTATTTATGACCTAAAAAAATAAAGTTTTCAGTGTTTCACCAACACAATTGTTGCAGCCCACTAAGATACTAATGCTGAAAGTTAGAAATAAGTGACACAAGTCATAAATCATAGGTATCTCAGAAAGTTTCAGATATTAGGGTCATTTGGTGAAGCTTAGCTGGACTTTGTAGTTGATATTAGTGTACCTTAGTGTTATTGTTACTCCTGGGCCTCCAAGCAATGGGAAAGTCTAGATGTGACTTAAAAAATCAAAGTCCCTTCATGCCAACAATTTTCATTTGAAAGAGAAGTAATAAATGTACAAACTACAAGGTCTCAAGATGTTTTTCTGGCTTTGCCATATTTTTATTTCTGCATGTGGGATGCTATTGTTGTTGTGTTGTTATTAGTTTTCTGTCATGAGATGCTCATTTAAACTTGACAACAGATATAGGGAGAAAAAGGCATGAGTGCAGGAGGGAGGATTAGAGACAAGAAGAAAATGAGTTGGCACGGACCATTAGGAGCCAAAGGAGCAATAGGAGCAGAGAAGAGAGGATATGGATTGATGCAGAAGGAAAGTAAGTGGGGAAGAAAATAGAAAATCAATTGAACAAGTGTCCAAAAGAAAGCCTCCTTGGATTCTTCACTTTTGCTGCCATACCCACTTTCATTTAGTCCCAGAAGCTACTTTATTTTAAGTAGGAGGGAGAATAAAGAAGGAAACAGACTACTTGGTTTGCCTTTTTATTTATACTTTGTTCCAGAAAGGATTTCAGGCATCACTAAATTCCTATAGTTAGCTATTTCTAGATAGATGATAGATAGATAATAACTGCTACAACTTACTGTTCGCATGTCTTTCTAGAGAAGTCACCTGTATGCAGACTGGCAAAGTGGGTAAAGCAATAAAGATCAGGAAGGAAATAGCAAATGAATACAAGTGCCAAAATGCATTCCAATCCAATTCTGCTACCACTTAGTTAATTCACAAGGTGATACATTATCCCGCTATTGAATTTCAGGTCCTCCTGACAATTACAGATGAGTTAGAGAATAATAAATACTTTTGCTCTCTATGTCCATATGTACTTAATTGAGTATGCTACATACTCACTCATACAAGCCTACCTAAACTTGGAGCCAGATGGGCTTTCTTATTTCATTGTAGCCGTTGGTACTGACAATACTATTCTGAGTTTGTGTTTTTCTAAACTTACAATGCTATTTGCCTAAATGCAACTATAAATGACTAGGTGGGGACCTTATCTTGCAAGTTGCCAAACTCACTAACTGTGCCCCTGGCCCCCTCTGCTTCTGTATTTACCACCTTTGCTTCTCATTTCAGTTCCTTTTTGTGTGTGTGTGGATTATAAGAACCAATCCTGTGATTTCTCAAACCAAAAGTAAAACTTAGTCAATACATATACAAAAGAGGTGAGATATGTTACCAAATGAAGTTTATCAATAATTAAATCTCTCATGAAGTAATTCATCTTGAGATATAATTTTCAACAAAGGGATTCTCAGAAATGAGCAAAGTTATTACGAAGTAATATTGTAAAAGACAATAGATGTCTCCATGGGCAATCTACCTTGAATGACGGTTATTTGTTCTCAATCCTACTGGGAAGTTGAAATTTATTGTATTTAATATTTAAGTCCTGGCCTTCACAAGATTAGGCTGGATCCATTGCAACATAAGGAACTAGCTGGAGATGCAGATGGTGAACTTGTCTACAACTCCCTTCAATTCCCCAAGAGCCCACGGGGCCATCTATGATCTAATATGTATGGTCTAATTATTGACTAATACTGCCAATAAGCCTGCCTCAAAGTTGACTTATGAATCTTAAGAAGAGCAGAGCAGTCAGATTAGTCTTGGGAAAAGATATGCAGAGGAAAAGGACCTGGGCATTTTGTACAAATTAAAGAGCCCCTCTCCCTTAAAATTATGAGCTAGCAGGAAACAACAGTTAGCAGATTAAAACCCAGGTTTTTCTGAACTTTCCTTTAAAAATCTGTGGAACCTTTGGGGGCCATTGGTGGAGGGAACTGTTGATGCTGTTGTGATTATGGATGGCAGTGACTTATTTGCTGTCCTGGGGCTTTCTCCAAGCTCTTAGTGTTTGCACTTTTAAACTCCACCACACCTTCTTTTTACTATGTTTTTAAACATCTTTTTATAAACAGTGTTTATTTAACATTCCACATCTGGTATTGACATTTCCATGCCAATAAGTCCTCCCCCTCCTTCCATTGTGTCCCACCTTGGTATGTACAAAAGATCCAAATTCTTGATCCCAAATGGGGACTAAGACATATTTGACTCCCTCCCTCTCCTCACACACTTCAGGCACAAGCATAAGTGCCTGTGTGTGTGTGTGTGTGTGTGTGTGTGTGTGTGTGTGTGTGTCCACGCTCATCAGAGAGAAAAATGGATAAAAATAAATTGAAACAAAGAGAATAACTCTGCGTGTGCTGTTGCACTCCACTATAGGCTAACAGGTCCCCTAAACCACAGCCACATATAGGAGCCACTTGAGTTGAATGAAAGCCAATCCATTGATCTCTTGTTTTCAGCTTTTTTAACCAAGCAGAGAGGACCTTTCAGTCTCAGAGATTTTGGGAGAGCATTACAATGAGGCTTCACTTCTAGGCAGTGACTGCACAGGGACTTTAAATCAGTCATTATTGTTTAATGTGCCCTGTATTGCACACTTAAAACAAACAGGAGCCAACATGCTAGTTAATTAACCCAACCTGGAGAAAACAAGTCTGAAAGATTCTAGTCCTTAAGCTGAAAGTTTTTAGATGTAGTCTATCCTTACCAATGTTTTGTAGAATGAGGCAGAAGAATAATAAATTAAATTAATTAAAATCTGTCCTTCCTGCCATCTCTAAGAACTTTCTGGTAACTTTAGGGATATTTGGGAACCATAAGTTCTAAGACCCACAGAATGATAAAAAAATAAAAAATAAAAAAATTCCTGGGGAAGTCTCCTCAAACTATCTACTACCAGAATGAGATAAGAAGTGATAGGGATAGGAGGGCATCCTTCTTCTCTCCCCATCACCTCAACTGCACAGAACCATTAAAATAGTCTAAGGATTGAAAGCCCAATATCATTCTAGGCAGAAAATCATTTGCTCAGAAAAAGCACTCTTTGGCTAAGTCTGGGTCCAGCTTTCTTATGCCTAAGTCTCTAGTGCTAGCATTGGCCAGATACCAACTTTCTTCACTCCTCTTTGAGACACACAGGAGATACAACTTTCCTCCCTGAGTACCCTGGGCTTTCCAACAAAGCAGTTTGGTGGGTGAAATGTGAGTCTGGAGAAGCATTCACACCCTCAAGGAAAAAGTTGGAGTTGTAGCTGGAATCTCTTTAACAGAGATATTGAGCTTCACCAGATGGTGCCATGTCAGCATTTTAAAAGAGAAGACTGCTCTTCATTTTATTTTCCTCCTAAACCAATGTGGGAGAAAGCCTGCTTTTGAATAAAAAAAAAATCTCACTAGGCCAGTTTTTGCTCTAGGCTACTCAGCCTCACTCCAATTATATAGATCAGGTCTCTGGCTACTATGGGTACATTTTATTCAGTCCCTTCATTCTCTTAAGGCAGCATTTACTAAGCAACTTATTTGGCACCAGGAAGGAAAGCCTGGGACTGTCCTGTAGTGGCTGAGAGTGGAATTGGGCTCTATGGAGAAAGCAACCCAAGAGTTCAAAGGTAGTGACAGTCCACTGGTCAACCTGACAGATATCAGCCCAATTCTGAGCAGAACTGATTTTGTCAGCTATTCAACACTGAACTGAGCCTCCAGAAACATTTTATGACTTGCCCTAAATCACACAGCTTGTAAGTGGTAGAGTTGAGGCTAGAACTAGAATCTGGTCTGAGGATTCTTTCCACTGTTTTTCAGCTTCATTTCAGAATAATGGATATGTAGGGGAGGGAGCAGGGGAAAACTTCCCAGCCAGTCTGTAGATGAAAGAAATGGTATTTTTCTTGTTGAAAAAGAGGAATGTCTGTGCTGCTTATGCCAATTTTTTTCAGGGCTAAGAACTGGTGATTGAAGATGCAGAAGTCCAACTTTGCATAAGAAACAATCTGTCTGCTCTGTGTTGGTAAAGAAATACCCAGAGGCCCTTTAATTCCCACAGGCTAGGTTGGTAATTATATGGTACAATACATTCCCTTTTCTTCCTTCCAGTTTAACACCTACCAGCTATTCTGAGCATGTATTTCACCTTTGGAGAGTGTATCTCATAAACAGACAGTAAAGGATGAAGGTGGAGAGAAGAGCAGCTAGATTAATCACAGGCTTCAAAAAACAAACCTAAGCCAAATGCCCTCAAATTCCTTCCAGGATAGGCTAAATCTACTCGCCCCCCAAACAGATCCATCACACTGAGGTCTGAGGCAGCTTTACTCTTTTTTTCCTTATTGATTAAGGCATTACATATGTGTCCTTATTACCCCATTGTCCCCCCTCCTCCCCCGACTCATGTCTTCCCCTCCCCCCAGTGTCTGTGTCGTTTTACTCTTTATAAAAAGCTTCCCTTTATGATCTCAGATATTGTCACAAATTGAGGCAAGAAAATAGAACAAACTGTAAAAGGGGGATGTTGGGGTGCATTTGCTGCCTGAGTAGAAGATTTAATTGGACTGAGGAATGAATTCCTGGGCAGAGAAGAGAAATGAGTTTGTATTCTCTCCATGTTTTATCAGTGAGGTCTTCTTACATCTCTCACTGCCTAGGCCTAACCATGTACTTATCTCATTTCACTTCTGAGTCATATTTCATTCCATTGAATTACCTGTCCCACTCTACTGTGCTGGGCCTTATAGTTAAAACCAGCCTTATGTGTGGGTGAGGTAGGAACCCATTTGAGTGGTACTGGAAAGATACCTTTGCCCTCCTCCCCTCCCAAAATATCTCCTATTCCTAGTTTCCTGGTACCATTGTGCTTAAAATCCACCATTAGTAATTCATTCCTTTGAGTTAAGTATTATACTAAATTATTTTGACATACCCATAGCTAACATTTTGTGTGAGATCATTTGTAAGATTGATATTTTTTTTACATAACGTAGCTGAAGCACCAATAAATTATTAGATGTCTAGACAGAAGACAAAGTTTTAGAAGAAAATGGGAAAAGGGAAAAGGACTAGTAGGGTACAAGGTGAGCAGGATATAAAAAGAACAGAAAAGGGAAACTAGAAACACTTTCCTAGATCATCCTTCCCAATCTGCCAATTTGACAGAAGTGTACTTCTTATTATACTCTGTCCTTCCTGGGATAAAGCTTAATTGGGAGCACTCTGAGATGAGCTACTAAGACCCCACTCAGACCTCTCTCAGGCCAGCCTCCTGTCTCTGTTTTAGTTTGTGCCTGGGAGAAGACAAAACCATTTATTCCTTTATCTCCAGAAAGACTCTCAGCCCCTGAGCCAGTGAGCTTAGTAGAGAGAAAATTACTTCTAAGGCCAAAGGTATGAGCTCAGTCTTCATATGGGCCAGTGAAGCTTGCATAGCCATTATCAGGGCAATGTGCTCCACAGGGACCCAGGCGAGACAGTATGTCTGGATTTACTCAAACTCATCCTCAACCAGTCCAAAATGAGACACTGGCATCATCTTCTTAGACAAAAGATAATCTGTTCCAAAAGGACACCTTTGATAGTGGAATTCCATCTGGGTGAATATATGGTTCCCCACCCAACCCAAGATTCACACATAAATGAAGTCATTCTGACCCCACTCTATTTAGCAACCTACCATTGCTAACAAAAAAGCCAAAAGCTGGTTAATGAATATAATCAGAATGGACCCCTCCACCTCCACCAAAAACAAAACAAAACAAACTCTGTGAAGGAATGTTGAAAATAATCAAGATCTGCTGATCTTGGCAGTTTCCAATAGTTTTTATCTAGCAAGGTGTCCAAATGAAGTGCATTGCCAACAATGCAGGAAAACTCATTCCACAAAAGTACACTGAAATTCTAAATGTCACCAGTATGGTTCCATAGTCTTCTACGAGTGATTGAAAATACAGTCTGTATTTTCTTTTGCCCAGGTAGGCAGCCTTCCAACATCCCCTAGTCTCTAACCTCATTTTTCCATGCAATAATCCATCAGTGGTGCTACTGATGAAACAAACACCCACCACACCCTCGATGACTAGTAGTGTCGACATTTGTCTCAACAATGGATAGTATTTCTAAAGAAATTTTCCCTTGCCTGGAGATCTGACAAGACTGGAACTGAAATAGATGCCTCTCTTCTCTTCTTAGGTCAGGCCAACTGAGAGGTCAATTTGTTGCCATAGGTAGAAATTTCTCAAGTTGGCTGCAGAGCTGGAACTGAGGACATATTTATAACTAGAAGCAAATAACAAGCCTAAAGGAATTTGCTACCTGTCACAAACCAGGCTAGACTTTCTAAGTTAACTCTACAGTTGCTGGGAAGTTCCAAATAATGTTTTCCTTTCTCTTTTAACATACAGTCACTCAAAAAAAAATCTTGCCAATGCTCAAAATCTCTCTTTAAGAAGATGAGAAATAGCCATTGGTAGGAAGAAAACTTATTCAACAAATACCTAAGTGGGGGCCATGTCCAAGGCACTGTATGGTTACTAAGAAGTAAAGGACATTGTCTCTTGTTCTCCTGTTCAGCAAATACACAGACATTTCATGCTTGAAGTAACTTTGTTTCTACAAATCTTTTCAACTTGTTTTTCTACTTGAGTTAGGGAAAATTTGAGCAGGTTAAACTAACATTCAGTTACAGACACCAGGGGATATGGAAAAAAAAAAAAAAAAAAGAAAAAAAAACCTAAACCAGTGCAAGCTGTAAACAGCTGCCACTGGAAATCATGTCATTAGAAAGCAACATTTGCTCTGGAGATGTCTTGATTTTTCAGGCTTTCAGTTTACCAAACTTTTTTTTTGTAAAGAAAAAGGCATAAAGAAACTTGATAGCTAAAGGCCTCCTAACGGCAAGGGTAAGATAGACTTCCATATGGCAGCAAGTCTGGCCTGGCTTGTGACAGAGCAAATACCTTTAGGCTTGTTATTTGCTTTTGGCTATAAAAATGTCATCAGTTGTAAGTGATGGGCTTACTCCTAAACTGGGATACTCGGTAGGACTGGTCTTCTTGGTTCTTAGAAAGAGAATTGCCTCTTTTAGAGGGCAGGAGAGAGTCCAGGGTTTTATTTCAACCACTCAAGAATGGCCTGATAAGCAGCCTTTCCACGGCACTCTCCTTGGGAGACTCCATATTACTTAGTGCAAGGCACTTGAATTCTATATATAAGAGAATCTGGAGAACCTGAAACCAATTAAATCAGGTCTGGCGAACAGAATTCAGGAATAAACTGAGGGGAGTCAGTTAGCCTATAAAAGAGAAGATTGGGGGGAGGCAATAAATATTTCCTAGAGTTTAAAAGGCAAAAGGAAACAATTGGGGCCAGGGTAAGATTATTATCTAAAATTGACCAAGGAGCCAAAACATCTTTGTCTCAGTGGCTAGAGCGTCGGCCTGCGGACTGAAAGATCCCCGGTTTGATTTCGGTCAAGGGCATGTACCTTGGTTGCGGGCACATCCCCAGTAGGGGGTGTGCAGGTGGCAGCTGATCAATGTTTCTCTCTATCCCTCTCTCTTTCTTTCTGTAAAAAATCAATAAAATATATATTTTTTAAAAGTTGGCCAAGGAGAATGGTTTTCAGATTCTAAAAAGATTGTGAAATAAATATTAAAGCCCTGGAGAGATAAGGAGATAAAGAATAATACCTAAGCATCCTAAAAGGGTTCAAATTTTGTCTGAGCCCTAATGAATTTCATGGAGAGTAAGAAGTGAACACTAAGCACTTAGACAAGTATGAGTAGTAGCTTAATGGAGCACCATAGGTTTTACTTGATCCTTCTGCTCAACACAAGGGAGAAGTACTTTACAAGCTGTTTTTGCAAAATATCATTTTTTATTTGTTGGAATTCTTATTAATTAGTTTAGCGACTTGGCTCAAATACAAAATATTGGCTCCAAAGAGATCCTCACATCAGCCTCAGTGTCAAAAAGCACCTCACTTTAATCTCCAGTCTCAGAAAATTCCCAACAGCAATCTGCTGAGATGACACCTCACTACAAAGACTCTGGAAAGCAAAGGCATCCCAGATGTTACCCAACTAAAATGTCATATGAAGGAACACACTGAGTATCTTAGAGCTTGTTTTCCTCTGTTCTCCCAGACATATGACATGGAGCACACTTTCTATAGCAATGGAGAGAAGAAGAAGATTTACATGGAAATTGATCCTGTGACCAGAACTGAAATATTCAGAAGTGGAAATGGCACTGATGAAACATTGGAAGTACATGACTTTAAAAATGTAAGTTGGATATTTCTCCGCAAAGGCTTCCCACTTAAAGTATTAGAACATTCTAGTTGAGTTAAAAGTAGCCTCTGGCCTTCATTTAATTTATAGACAAAGCTTTCCCTTGGAATTCAATATTTTCCAGCCTAGAGCCCTGACAGACAATGGAACCCATTAATTATGGCTATTTCATGAGGTGTTTTTATTTTATTTTTATTTAATAGGGATACACTGGCATCTACTTTGTAGGTCTTCAAAAATGCTTCATCAAAACTCAGATTAAAGTGATTCCTGAATTTTCTGAACCAGAGGAGGAAATAGATGAGGTATGTAAGAATAACCATGGCAGTAAAGGCCATCATTTATTGGGTGTTAACTATGTGCCAGTCATTGCACTAAAAGCTTTACTCTGATTTGATTCTCACTTGGACCCTATAGGTAGGTACTATAATTGTCCCCATTTTCAGATAAAGAAACTAAGACTCAGAGCCCAAAAGTGACTTGCCCAAGATCACAGAGATAGTGAGGAACAGATTGGGATTTTGACTCTGGCCTTTCAAAAAATCAACTTCATGTTTTTAGGTGCTATACTGGTGTAGCCATTAACATTATGTACTTTTCTCCCAAACCAATGGTTTCTGGTAAAAGGGGTGAGCAGTAGCACAAAATAAATCTTGCCTAAGATAAAGTCTTAAAAAGAAAAGTTCTAAGGCCACTGAGGATCCTTGCCACTTTTGTCACACTGTAACATTCACCTGTCTTAATGATTTCAGTTCATTCACCATGCCATTTTATGATAGGTTGCTAATGGAATGAATACCATTTAATCTCACTAGGAAAGGCAAAATCAAAGAAGGTGAGATCTACAGTGTAATACAATTTCTCTGAAAATATACCACTAGTCCAAGATACTGGTGCAATTATTGAGTGGCCCCTGAAAGCTTAGTGGGAGATGAAGGATTATTGCCTAAAATATAGCCATCAATAAAGCCCCCAAGGCTCTTAATTTTCCTCTCATATTCTGTCTGTAATTACAGTATGTTGCTATCAGTAAAGGAAAAATCGGAATGTTAGCTAAGGCCATAGTGTGACAGCACAACCCCTCCCTCCCGCCCCCTGTAGCCAGGAAGAAACAAATGTTTGTTTGCTTTGGTTGGTTTTGTTTTAGAGTTTAACTAGTAAATCTAGTGATATTATGGCCAATAATACAGTGGCCTCTCTATTACTGTAAATACCTCTTTCTCTTTCTTCTCTCTCCCCTGTTCTTTTTTCACTTTTCTCTGACCCACTCTCTCCATCTTAATTCTCATCTACCAATTTATCATTTCCTTTTTTTATTTTTGGGGGGAGGGTGAGATGGGTTAAGGAGCCATTTTTCTTTTCTCTTACCCAAATATCAGAGCTGTCATTAGCTCCATGGACATGCTACTGGCCAGAGAAGTTACAGACTTTTGGTAATAAGAAAAATATTTCCTAAGTAAAACTTTGGAGATTTTTTAAAACAAGCATAAGTTAGATGAATCTGAGGGAGAGAAAAACTTCCAGGATATTAGAACTAATATGGGAGGCAAGGATAAGATGAAAGGAGAATGAATAGGTTAAAAAGCTACTACACCCAATATCATATGCTGCTTTTTATAGAAAATGTAAGCTTTTGAGTAGGGCCAGCCAGAAATTAGAGTCCAAACTGACACAATAAGATTTATTTTTCTGAAAAAATAAATAGTAAAGGCAATGATCCATAGTGTCTCATTTTGACCCCAATTTATTCTTCAGTTAATTTTGCTGAATCTTTTGAATAGCACAAGTATTTTTCTCTTGATATTGATATTACTTTATCTTCAAGAAAAACTTAAAAACTTTTATTTTCTATTTCTCTACCTCTGTATCAATGTTTTGTGCATGTTAAACATGCAGAGCAGATATAAAAATAGCCCTGGTTTTGCTAAAAAAAAAAAAAAACTAGTCAGAATTCAGACCTCATTTTATACAGTCCCTTTCAATGGCTCTCAAGGTATTATACAGACTCAAGGACAAAAGAACTAAGACTTGATAGTTTTAAATTACTAGAGAAGAATTGTACAAAGCTATATTTCACAGAATAAATTAAAACACTGAAATCATAAAGCTAGAAGGAAACAAAAGAGAAAAGGGAAAGCCTTTTGGGAGGGGTGCGGGGAGGGAGAGACACGGGGATGGATATCGAAGCCCAAAAGACAAGGAGTAAGAACTAGATATTGCCGACATAAGAAAATGTCCAAAATTGTAAGACTTTTTATTATGAGTTCATTTGAATCAAACTGACAACAATTGCTGGGAAGCAAAATCTCAACGGGTTGAAAAAATTCTCTAGAAAATGGTAGTTTTGCACCTTATTTTATATACTACAATCAAAGAAGGAGGCATAAGGGGGGTTACATGAAATCCATTAGTGAAAGATTAGAGAGGCTCAGGAGCAAGCAATGTGGGGAACCCTGTAGAATTGGATAAAAAGTAAAAAGAATAGACAATTTCTTCTTTTACATTGGTCGGTATAGGGTGGTTAACAAATGGCAATAACAATGAAGGATTTTGTTGTTGTTGTTGTTAGTCTCTTCTTTGTTTGGAGATTGTGCCCTGAGGGATCTGGAAAAAGGGAAATTAGCCTGACATTCCAAAGATGTATTATTATGTTATCTTAGATGCAAAAAGAAAATAGGTTCAGTAAAGGTACAGATTGACCTTTGTCAATGAAGATACCAATCTAGGACATGAGTACTGGTATCACTTTTAGTTGGAATGTTTTCATTTCAGACCATCTTATGTGGTTACTTTAGGTCTCTGAGTTTGTAAAGCCCACCATACAGACCTCCCCTAACTTATCAGTTTAGTATATGGCCCCTTTTTGTCCATAGTATACAAAACAACTACTTCAAATACTAGAAACTGAGGAGAAGGTGACATTCTTGGCAATACAAGAAAGCCTACCTAAAGGAAAAACACTCTATGAGACAAACCCTAAGTATCTAGAATGAAAGGAGTTAAATATTGTGGTAAGGTCAGTCAAGGTAAGAGCTGGAGTTGACTTTACAACAAAAAAGTACATCTTTTACACTCCACCTAGCTGCTATTAACAGGCAAATCTTGTAAAACCAAACTATTATGTTTGGTTGCTATTTCACTGATCTCACCAGTTTAAATTATAGCAGGGTTTTTGTTGTTGTTGTTGTTTTTACTTTCAGATAAAATTTTGTTTGCAAGCCTAGTTGCAAACCTAAAACAAGGCAGGCACTCAAAACTTCTATTTTAAAGAAAGAAAACAAATGCAAATTATCTAGGATTCCAGAAGCCCAGATTAAAGCATACATGGCCCAGTGCGGGGTCTAGATATTGATGGAGAACCTTCCTGACTTGAAGTGAAATGGTAGCAGAGACGGCTATTGTTTCAGTGAGCAACCTGTCTGCTAGGAGGCATTGGTTATTAAACTCTCCCAAGGGCACCATCTAGTGTGTGCAAAGCACAGAGCTGGTTGCCTGCGAGCCCTGGGATGGAAATTGTTATTCAGACTCAAAATACTGGTGTGTAGGTTATTTTTTTTCATTAGCCCATAATCTCTAATTATTAATTTCTCTGCCTATCCCCAATCTGAACTACTTTTTTCTTTCAGAATGAAGAAATTACCACAACTTTTTTTGAACAGTCAGTCATTTGGGTCCCAGCAGAAAAGCCAATTGAAAACCGAGACTTTCTTAAAAACTCCAAAATTCTGGAGATTTGTGATAATGTGACCATGTATTGGATCAATCCCACTCTAATAGCAGGTATGGCTTTCTTCTTCTCTGCCTCCTCTTTCCAAAGTCAGTAACAGGTTAATGCTCCCAGCATTCAGAGTCTAGATTTCCAGGAAAACAAATGATCTGCTTATATCTTCTTAGATGAAACTGTATATGCTGACTGCCAGTGAGGAGGGAATTTTTAACAGCCAAGTTATAAATCAGATAAATTAATGCTGACAGGCTTTTAAATATACCAGCAAAGGTAACACCACCTTAATGTGGCCAATGATAGCAAAAAGCTAATCTGTCTTTCTTAGCACATTGATATTTATTACACTCAGGATACTAGACTATTGCTGAAATCACTGTGTGTTCAACCCAAGACCAGAGGAGAAAAGAGCCAAAACAATGCTCTGCTGTCTCAAGAAGGATTCTCTATGTCAAATCGTGGCCTTCTTCCCAGATGATAAGACAGTCACTGCAATACAAATTTCTTTATGGCTGTTTCAGGAATCACTATAAAAGTAATTGAAGGCTAGAGGTCCAGAGTAGAAGAGTTCAACTCTGAATTTCCAGTTGACCCATAAAGAAGACAAAGGTCTCTGGATATCTTTTTCTGCCAAGCTAATGTATAACTTGGCCTCCCTCATTGTGTACAGTATAGATTACTATACTACTTAGGAGGGGCCACTCTAACCAATGCAGGCATCTATTGGTACTCTTATGCCTTTAAAAATGAAAAGGGGACTAAATGAAATGTGGTACTCTGGATTGGATGCTAGAACTTCTGCTTCAGCATTTTTTTGTCTAAAGGACATTGGTGGAAATAATGAACTCTAAATAAAGTTTGTAGTTTAGCTAATAGTATCAATGCTAATTTCTTAGTTTGATCATTGTATTATGGTTATATAAGAAGCTAACATTAGGGGACTGGGTAAAAGGTATACAGGAACTCTGTACTATCTTTGCAACTCTTCTGTGAATCTAAGATTATTTCTAAATAGAAAGTTTAAAAATAGTTAAAACAGGAAAGAGAAGGAAAGAATGAGGGTGACAGAGGTACAGAGAGTAGCAAATCAAATTAGGCCAACATAAACATATTTGAGTAACTACCATGGATAAAATAATTTTGGAAGACAGAGGTCCCCTGTCCTCAGTCTCTAATTTAGTATGCTAAGGAGGCAAAGCAATAAGTATTTGATGCCAAATGAGCAAAGAAGATGTCTGTTTACATGTAAATAGTCAAATTTGCTTGGGAAAATCTCTTTAAAATATCAGCTGAAAGAGATTGCAAAGTGGTTTATGCATGTCTAAATGATGATGGTGAGAAAACACAGGGACAATCTCTACCCCCAAATGCTAATCTCCCAATCACTTCTTTTAGAAACTTTTGCAAAGCAATTGTATTTATTACTTTAGTTTCAGAGTTACAAGACTTTGAGGAGGATGGTGAAGATCTTCACTTTCCTACCACTGAAAAAAAGGGTATTGAACAAAATGAGCAATGGGTGGTCCCTCAAGTGAAGGTGGAGAAGACCCGTCATGCCAGACAAGCAAGTGAAGAAGAACTTCCAATAAATGACTATGTGAGTTATGTTTCTGTTTTCTAGTTAAGGGGGGGGAGGAGGACCTCTCAAATTTCATATGCTAAATTAGAATCCTCCAAATCAAAGTCATTGAAAGGAAAGTAATCATTGTTTTAACAAGTATTTAAGAAACTTGGAATCACTAGGAGGTTCATTTAAAATCAGTCTTGATCCCTACTGAGATATCTCCATGATAAGGCTAACAACTAAATTTTTCACCAATCCCCCACTCATATAGTCTTTATTCCTCTTCCTAGTGAACTTTCTCCTCCAACACTGGCTTCTTCTTCTTTCAGACTGAAAATGGAATAGAATTTGACCCCATGCTGGATGAGAGAGGTTATTGTTGTATTTACTGCCGTCGAGGCAACCGCTACTGCCGCCGCGTCTGTGAACCTTTACTAGGTTACTATCCGTATCCCTACTGCTACCAAGGAGGGCGGGTTATCTGTCGTGTCATCATGCCTTGCAACTGGTGGGTGGCTCGCATGCTGGGGAGGGTCTAATAGCAAGTTTGAACTCATTTCTTAAACTTCAAACAGCCAATATATAATAAATGCATGCTATTCAATGAATTTCTGCCTATGAGGCATTGGGCTCCTTGTAGCCAGTACTCCAGAATTACTTGTTGGTAATTCCTCTCTCATGTTCTAATAAACTTCTACATCATTGTCAATGGCCTGATTGCTACTGAACACACTGGGTAAGTGCTTGCTAAGAATATTTCCTGCAACTGAGATGAAGTAGATCTGTTTAACATGGATGACAACAATGGAAACTTGCATTTCATCAGGTTTGGGGAGTAGGAAAGGGCAAATCATAAGAATTCTTAAATACCATATTTTACTGTGCTGTATTGAGAAAGTGGAAATGAGAGGCTGGTGATAAAATGTCCCTATAACTAATGCATAAAAATGTGTCCTTTTGTACATAGCTCCAATGTTTGATTATGTGAGAGACATACTCTGGATTCACTTAAGCATTTAGTAAGCTAAGCCACTGGACAGGCAACATTAAAATATTCCAAGTGCTCAGACTCAGCAAAGGAGAATGCTAACCTAGAAAAACAGGGGTTCTAGGCTCTCTTGTGAATAGAAACTCAACTTTGGGCAAATTCAACATTTTATAACCTTTAAGTCTGACCTATCTTTAGATTTGAATTTAGTGACATAACTTTACAAGGCAATTGTCTGAAAAAGGTAGACCCATAAATATCATTCAGAGAAACAAGCATCATAGGAAATTACTGAGGTGAGGGGTCAAATGGGATTTTCCCCCTCCAAAACCACGAGGAACTAGCAGTATGCCACTTTCTTAAAAGGAAGGGTATGGCCTAATTCCTGATTCCCTGATACTTTGCTTGGGAAAGGGAAGAGGAGTAAAGGGGAAATGAAAATAAGTGGTTAGAAGGTAATGCTAACCTCGATGTTTCAGTCAATCTGTTTAATTCAAATGTAGCCCCTTTATTGCTCAACGTCAAAGTTATTGTGTCATGAAAATATCTGTCTAGCACTTTCCATCAGAAAAGCATTTTTAAAGAGTAAAATCTTTACCAAGATGCCTGTGGACCAGGAATCATTTTCCCCCATTTAGTTGAGGAAGAAAATAGAACAAAATTTGGCCAAGGATGATTTAAATTAGCTAGCCATTAATTGATAATTAGCATACATGTTATAGTTGGATTGCCAATTTTCATTGAATGAGAACACAATAAAGCATAACCAATGATACAACATTACTGAAAAGATTTTCTTTTTATTAATGATTTAGAACACACCTGAGAATTTTGGACTACTTCAATGATCATAACAGGCATTAATTTATAGTCAGAATAGAAAAATGTAAAACATATCAAATTAATTTGAGGTTTTATGGAATTTATGATTTCCCTATCATTATTTTTAATAAATTATTCATTTTTAACATTGATTTTTAAGATCAACCAACAATTTTAAATTCCTGTAATGCTCAATTTTATGCAGTCTACATTGTATTACATATACTATGCTCTATGATGGTATACTCTATATTTCCGAAGAAAAACAAGACACCCAAATTTTATAAGCCCAAGTAAAGAAATTCATACACAATTACAATTGTATATGATATGCTATATACATGTACACACACACACACACACACACACACACACACAATTATAGAAGTTTCAATGTCACATTTTAGGGCTAAGAATTCCTAGTAATATTATTTTAACTCAGAAAGTATTTCTTGTTCAAATAGATTCTTCAACCACCACATAATTTCACATTGGGAAAGTATGATCCCTTTAATGAGGCAGACCAAGAGTTCAAAATAAAATACAAGGACATGCTTAAAGAAGTATTCAAATCATTTCAAGCTTGGGGGTGGGGGCGGTGAACAAATCAGAACAGCAAACAAATAGCAATAGCCCAAACACATTAATATGTCACTTCATATAAGTTGAGGCCAAGTTGAAGAAAGCATGATGTTGTTCTGCTGTCCTAGATTTTGTATTCTCTTTCAAATCCTGTACAGACTCCTTACATCACACTTTGCACTTCTTTTAGGCCAACCTCACTGAAGCTAGAGTTGCCTTTCTTACTTCTACCATGCTTCTCTACATTCCCATTACAAGGAGGGATACCAAAGTAAATTTGACCTCCTAAACCAAAGATCTCACAGTAATTCTAATTATCTCTGTCCTCCTCCACTTGTCTCATGCCAAACACTTCCAGCTTGTTCTCTTAAACCACCCTTCAATTATGTGTATGGTCCAGGCCACAGTTATGCTTATTTCTTAGCACAGCTGTTACAACCGCCTCCCTGTTGAAGTTCCCAGGCTTTAGACTGAAGGTAGAATAAACATTTTTATATACAATTTATTTTCACTTACAGATTTTATAAATGCCATTTTCTTTCCTGAAAGTCTGTAATAGCTACTTACTATATTAAGGTTTAGGTCTAACTTGCATTCAAATAGTTCTTCCTCAAACCTTTAACCACCATTTCATATCCCTTTTCTTCTTCTATTACCCTACCCAATCCCTTTGCTTATTTGGGGGACATTAACTTCTCGCTCTATTTGTGCAGTCATTCCATCTCCTTTATAGAGCTTTCTCTCACTAATTTAAAGAGATTAAAAATCCATTTTTTCCTTTTACCTAAATATGAAATCTAAATTCCCTCTACTTCATTTTATGCCTGTATGCATTAATATATTACTCACTGCATGTAACATTTACATATGGGTTTACTTGCAAATTCTAAAAAAGAGCCTACATACTCTCTCATTTTGCTCTGTCCAGAGCCTAGTACAGTATCTAAAGCATAGAAGTGGCTTTTAATTTTTCTTTTATTAAAGTCAATGAGAAAGAAGAGAGGGAAGAAGATAAAGGGCAAGAGTACAGCTACACAGCATTTCGGAATATTAAAAGTTAGCCTAGCCTTAGCCAGTTTAACTCAGTGGATAGAACATCAGTCTGTGGACTAAAGGGTCCCGGGTTCAATTCTGGCCAAGGGCACATGCCCATGTTGCAGGCTCTATCCCCCCCCCCAGTAGGGGGCATGCAGAAGGCATCCAATCAATGATTCTCTCTTATCATTGATGTTTTTAATCTCTCTCCCTTTCTCTATGAAATCAATATATACACACATATATTTTATATATATTTTAAAGTTAGCCTTGAGTTTTGTTGAGATTTGTGAACATTCTTATCTTACTCAAATCTATTTTGCTATTCCTTATCTTTTGACACAGTTTATTTCTACAAGTATAAAGAATTCCTCTAATCCCAGAATGATCAAAAGCAGAGATGATTGCCCACAGCTCGATTATCTATTTCCATTATACACAGGCAGATTTTTTTTATGTTTTCTTCTCAATTTTTAATGACTCCATGTATAAAAAAAGATGAAAAATGGAAAAAACACAGCTGCCGTAAAATCACAAGAAATATATTACCTTTCAGATTCTTTGGGGATTTAAGCTTCAAGAAAAGCCAGGTAAGGCAACGCTATCCATTATTCCCACAAAGCATAAGGGCACCATGCATTAGTGTGCTCAGTGCCTTTCCTAAACACCTAAAATGGCTCTTTGGCAGGACTAGGGGCAAAGGAAATCTATTTGGAGTCTTTATATATAAGGCTTACTATCTGGCTGAGTTCAAAACTGTCACTTTGGCTCCTAAAGTCTAACACTGAAAGCTTACTGAAATAAATATGGATCTTCTCATTCAGGCTGTCAGGAAATGCATGGATCTATTTTATTTATACACTTAAAATGATTTCATTTGGCCTTCCCTTTTGGTTTTTTGAAAAAGTTTTATTCTGGGGCATAATTTTGCTGACAACATTCTGTTCCTGAACAAGAAAGCAAAGTGGCATCACATTAAAAACCAGGTATGAATGTATACACAAAAAATATTGTTGTGGCTTATTCCAAAGTCCTGCTCCTCAGTCTCCTCCAGTATCTTTAATTAATTCTCATGAAAGCTACTTACCCAAGGACTACATTGATAATTTATTTAGATCAATAGTCAACTCTGGCATTTGTAGCACAATGAGTGAATTAGTCATTTATATACTTACTAGAGGCCTGGTGAATGAATTCATGCACCAGTGGGGTCCCTCGGCTGGCCTGCGGACTCAGGCTGAAACCACCTCTCCAACATCCCCCAAGCAGTCCCAGATTGCGAGAGGGCACAGGCCAGGCTGAAGGACCCCACTGGTGCATGATTAGGGCCCAGGAGGGATGTGGGAGGTTGGCCAGATGAGGAGGGACCACGGGATGCCTCTAGAGCATGTCCAGCCCATCTCACTCAGCCCTAATCAGCCAAAACCCAGCAGCAAGCTAACCTACAGGTTGGAGCATCTGCCCCCTGGTGGTCAGTGCATGTCATAGTGAGCAGTTGAGCTGCCTTAGCATATCATTAGCATAACACACTTTGATTGGTTGAATGGCCAACTGGTCAATTGGACACTTAGCATATTAGGCTTTTATTATATAGGATTGCTTTGATATTGGGTTTCTTTATTGAATACTCAACCCTATTGTCTTTGCTACAAGGCCTCAGAAAGAGAAAGGCAGTTGAAGCAAGAGAAACAGACCAAGCCACAATAAATCCCTCAACCAAAACAAAGTCCAGCAACTCCATAGTGTTTAGATGATCTCTAATAGCGATATGAATATATTGTTTATATTTATCCTTTCCTGCTGATGCTATCATTTGCCATTCTGAATTTTCCACTGACAGCAGTATTTCTGCTAGTCTTACTTACAGAGATGTTGGCTACTAAAACACATTCAGGCTTATATCATTATCAATCATTGGTGAACCAAGAACAAGACAAAGATTTAGTTCTGGTTGATTTGCTGAAGCAGAGAGTAAGAAAGTAGTAGTGTGACTAGCTACAAATTGAACACAGGGATTTGAGCTTGTTTATTTTGCATGGGGTATTCCACTCACAAATTCACTGTGTCTACAGAAATCCATTTATTGGGGTGAGGATTGCTTCTTCACAGCAG